CCCCTCTATCATGCTCATACACAAAGGAGCTTAGCACTTCTGCCCAGGGAGCCATGGCAGAAATGCTGCTCTGCTCCTGTCTCAGGCGAGCGCGGGGCTCCCGCAGGCCGCGGGCTCCGGAGGCTGAAGAGCCGGTGCTCGGGAAGGTTGGGCCTTCCTTGGCCTCCTTGGAGAAGCCGGCTGCAGGAACMCACAGGGGAGAGAGATGCCCTGCGCGCACTTCAGAGGGATAGCATGGGTTCCCATTAAGGATATCTGGGCCAAAATGTTGTTTTCCTCCAGCAGTATTTGTTTTAATGTAGAAAAAAGGTACTCCCTTCCCAGTCCCGATAACCATTTTTCTCACCACAGCAACATATGTTTGCAGATTAGTACATGCATATTGCATAGAATTTGTGTAAATTGCCTTACCTTGCCCACATTTATGTGCCACAAATATACAGTCGTTTAGGAAAATACTGGTTTTGTTTGTGTAGATAAGCTTTTGTYGGTCAATAGAATGTTCTGATAAAGATGTGGACTATTTTTGAGATGCCTGTGTAACAGTAAGATAGTGATTTAACATCATCTGGGGTATGATTGTTGATCTGTGGTTGATTTGGAGTTTACTGCTGTTTGTTATTTAAACCAACAAGATTTTTCCAGTTTGTTAATCAAGCAACACAGGTTTTGGATGCTATCTTTACTGTGGTGAATGGTATCCGACATTATTTTCTGCAGTAATGGAAATACAGAATAACCAATCTGTACAGCAAGAGCCTTTGAACAGAAACACGTATGAATCCACAGCAGGCTCTTTGATCAAGTTAATGCTACATTTGGTGTGCTAGTAAAATGTCTCAGCAAGATGCATGATGACTGGCATCTCTTTAGAAATGTAATATTGACTCTGAAGAATAAAAAGTAGTGTATGTTTAAGTTTAAATAACTTGCAATCTTTTAAAACCATTCTCTATTCAAAAAAARTCCAGCAAAATAAAGTGATTATAGTTAATATACAGATCACATATCCATATGTACTCAAGGACTCTTCTATAATCATCGCTTAGGTAGCTATATTTCCTCTTTTTTTATTTGGCTTTTGATTTTTTTTTTTCCATAAAAGATTTATAAAATGAAAGGCAGAGAAAAGTCATTTAAATAGGAATTAACAAATGGATAAAGGGAGATGCTTGCTTATTAGTTATGGTATCCTAATATACTGTCAACACTTCCCTTCAAACTTTTGTAATATTTAGCCTACATTATGACTTTCCCAGTATAGTAAGTTATATTTGTTTTATGTAAAGTTGCAGTACAATCTGTTCGTTGCAAAGCTTTTGCAAAGCCTCTGTATTTACATTTGTTAGAGTAACTATCCGTGATATGTACAGTATCTGTTTGTAAGTAGTATAGTATTGCTGGTCTGTTTGTATTAATTCTGTTCCTCTTTGATTTTAGTTGTGTGCCTGGTTGCTTACCACATATTTTTCATGCTGTTCGTCTGGTCATATTGGAAAACAATTTTTACGCTACCAATGAATCCTTCAAAAGAAGTAAGATAAATTTAACTTTTATTTCTGAACCAGCCTGGTCAAATGTTTGATTTTGTAATATTTGAATAATTTAGACTATGAGCTTATATATGAGCTTTGTACTATGTAAAAAATAYACCTGATAGTTACAGCTTCTGGTTAGGAATAAGTCAGATCGCAAACAGAATAATTGACAAGAAAAAAAAAAACCTTTACTAAAATAAAAATCTTGAATAGATTAAAAAAGAGATGACACATGATCAAGGAAAATAAAAGTCTGTAGTTGAAAAATGCCAGTTATTTGAACTAGGACTTTAAATATTTGCATGGAAATACAATATGCTTATGTGGGGAAAAATCTATTTCCACCTGTTTAAGACACATGTTCCAAGGTACCTGCCAGCATTTGTCAGTTGTTCTCTGAATTGCAGATTCTGCTGCATTTGGTTTGACATAAAGGAACTTGGGGGAGTTTGGGAGTGAGTGCATAGCAACTAAGCTGAGYCTGGGAAGCTGCTGGGGCCAGGCAGGCAGGAAGCTGGTAGACAGCTGCTGCCTAGAAAGAGTCAGTGCTGAATGCAAACCCAAAGTCTAAGACCAGCTATTTCAGAAGAGTTAAAGAAGAAGAATCCAATTTTYTGGGACAATATCATGCTATGAAACCGTATTCAAAACATTTTGCATTCTTTTTGACATCATTAAAAAAAAGAGGAAAGAAAAAATGTCATAATCTTTATGCAGTTGTTCTCTGTGCATCTTGCTACAAACAAAATAAGCTTTTGGCCTCTGGCATCCTGTCTTTGTACAGAAACTGTAGCTTCCTTACTAAAAGTACCACGTCACCTAAGCTGTAAGGGTAAAAGGAATCACAGAATCCACAGAATATTCAAGGTTGGAAGGGACCTCTAGAGATCATCTAGTCCAACCTTCCTGCTCAAACAGGCACACCCAGAGCATGTGGCACAGGGYGGCATCCAGGCRGGTTTGGAAGACCTCCAGAGAAGGAGACTCCACAACCTCCCTGGGCAGAGGAACATGCACAGGAAGCATGAGTTGGCTGCTTGACAGTTCTAAATAGCTACAAAGCCCATGTTTATTTTAGATGGTCTCAACAGCTTCACCTCCTGTACCTGCCATGTCAACACAAAATAAATGACTTGTGATTTCCACTCTCTGTTCTGTGAAGGAATTGCTTTCATACACTAATGAGAGGTTTAGTTGTGAGAATAACCAAGTCATTTGAAGTAATGTCTTAAAACTTATGCTGCAGTCTTTACTGCAGCTTGTGGGGAGAGGAGATAAATAAAAAGAATTAAGAACCTGTTTCATTTAGTAATTCCATAGCAAAGTGTATGTATGCTTAAAGGGACTGTAGCAATAATTAGGAAATTATTGAATCACTGACCTGATCCCAATAAAAGACTCATAAGACACCGCTATTGTCAATGTTTTGACAGATCATTAGATGTTTTGTTGGTACTCTAGAGTCACAGTATTTTCAGGGAACTTCAAATAGAATCCTAAAAGTAATGGAGTTGGGTATTAGAAAGCAATATGTGATGTTTCAGTGGTTTTTTCAATTTACACAGTGTTGCTGGCACTAAATGACATTTTTTGTTGTTCCATGTCTTCTTGCTAGTCTGCTAGAGCTTTATTTTTAAAATGAATTGAGGTATTTTATAGTGTTAAATTACTGTCTGACTTCCAATTTCCAGAATAGAATCTGTAAATATAAAAGGGCACATTCTCCACTTAACTAAACTGACATATCTACCGTAACAAACAGTCTTCCAAAAACACAACAGAAAGTCATAAGACTTTTGTGTGAATTCTAGTGAATACTGCAGCTGGTGGAAAAACACTGGCTATGTGTTTCTCTTCTTACACTTATTTCAAATTTCTACACGTATAAAAAGCACYAGTCAGACTACTGGTGCTGTGGCTTTGAATTTAAAATACTACAAATCTGACATTTTTCTTCTGATGTTCAATGTTTTCTTGCTATCCCTTCCAGTTAGAAATCATTGTCCAAAGAAATACTTCAAACTCGAGCAATAGTGTTTTTTCCTAACGGGGGGGATTGTGTCCCTATACTTTGTAAGGGCTTTTCCTGACTTTCCCTTGAAAGCTTGTGAGTTGCCTCTCAGCGGTAGAGGAAAACTTCTGTGGTTAAGACTCTGTTGCAAAGGAGTTGCCCGGCTGTGTTCTTGCCTTTGAGGGGCTTTGCTTTAGATGCTGCCCTTCTGTTCCTGTGTGCACCCACTCTGCACAATCCACAAGGTGGTTTCCCAAACACCAAAACCTTCCATAGACTCATAACTATTCTGGGGACCAATTTCGTAATGGTGGAGTGATGACATTATGTACTCCAAGCAGGAGGCACTTCTTGAAAAGAATAACCAGAAGAGTGTAAACTTGCTAGGGAAAAAATAAAGGATCCCTTAGAAATTCAAACAAACAAACAAACAAACAAACCTCTATTTCTCCTGGAAGATAGTGAGCTCAGTGAGCTCTTTTCAAGAATGTTGGTTGATGCTTTCTCTAAAGATGAGGAAATGGGCTCCTGACTATGTGCTTCTGCCTGCTTTCTTAGCTTTATATGTGTCACACTTATTTAGGAAAAGAAGTTAATACTGTTAAAATAATTAGTTCTTAAACACTTTTTATGGGCAYAAATGCTATTTGAGAAGCTGGGGACAGTCCTGCTCCTGCTCAAAACAGGCTTCTTCTGAGAAGTGATTTTGTGTCTTATTTCTTTTATGGAGCTAACAAAGACTTGTGCGTCTCCTCATTTCCAGAAGCTGCAGCTGCACTGCTGACTGTTGCTGGGCTGCAGAGGACTTCACAGGAGAATTTGATTTCCTAGTACATACCGTGTATCTATTTCACTAACCTTTTTCCTTTCAGCACTTACTAGAACAATGCCAGCCACTGGCCTTCTAGACAGCACCAGAGGCAGCCACAGGCTTTGATRTTAAGACATATTTATTCTCTCATATTCAGGACAGCCAACTCTTCCATTCTGTCAGTCAGTCTCTGAAGTAGAAGCACCTCTAACACAGGCTTGAAGAGAGCAGCAACTCTCCAGCGACAAGGAATAAATGAGAAGGTGCCAGGCACTAGGAAAGAAATCTGGCTATTGTTTCTACTATTACTACTGGTAGCAGATTTTCTTTCATTTAAAGATTGSTATATGTTGGCTTATATTTACTAGTTAATATTTACAATTAGGAAAATAGATTAGTTGACCTGTCAAGGGATTGATAATTACATTTGATTGTGGTAGCTTTTGATCCTCTTCTTGAAGAGTCTCTAAGTACAATGGGGACTACATCAGAAAGAATTTTAATTTGGTCTTATTTCTGCTGTTAGACAAAAAAAAAACCACTATAAACTGAATTAGTGCTAGGAACATCATTTTTTTGCTGGGATACCATGTATGTGCCACTAACCCATCTTTAATGAATATTTCTCCTATGTGTCCAGAAACCCTTACTTAACATGGAATTTACTAACATATCCTCCATTTTAAAACTTGCTTCCAGTTCCACTTGTCCTATTCAGACAAGGAATCCCTAGAGAGGGAACCTAGAGGTGAATCCCAGCAAGAAGTCCTGAGAAGAGCAGCCAAGGATCTGCCTATCTACACACGGACAATGTCTGGAGGTAAATACTGCCAAATCAGGAGGCCATTGAAGGCAGGTGGCTGCTTTGCCAGCTGAAGAAAGTGGGAATTCTCACATGGTTGCGTTGTTTTAGTTCAGTTTGTTCAGCTATAACAAGTTCCAGCTTGTTATAGTTCAGAAAATAATACAGTAATCAAAGAATCATGCATATCTGTGCTGGTGGAARCACACTAAGCCAACGCAGCCTCAGATGTTTATGTAACTTTATGCAAATGATTGGAAACTGCTGTGTACAATGTATGATTTTGAGCCGGATTGATAACAAACAAAAATTTAAAAATGGCTGGTGATATTAACAAACCTTGGAAGAAGCAGTAGTAGCCTTGAATTGTGCAGATTTCCATTCTTCTTTCATAAGTAAAAAATAATCATTATTTGCATATGGATTATTATACACTGTGCATAGGTATCGGATATACAGATGTGTGTAACTAGAACACCAAAATAAACAGGTACTCTTGCACTCACTGGTGCTTCAGCTGCAAGAGCAGAAGCTCTTCCTTTGGTCTTAACATAATGAGAAGTTTGTGAATGTTTGTTAGCTAAGCAAATCCAAAAAGTAACCTGATATAAAAATTAAAGTTGTCAGAATAATCATTTAAATGGGGCTTATTTTTGTGGTTGAGTAGTCTTTAATGGTTTTCTTGTCTAGAATGGGTTTTACAGATCTGTTGGTTGGTTGGTTGATTGGTTGGTTTGTAGATCTCACTAGTGTTTAGAGGGAAAATTCCTGATCAGTTTGATTCCCAAATCTGAGCTCCTTGGGTTCATGCTGGTAGATCCTGTACGGCAATACATACAGAATGCTTCAGTGCTTGCAATTTCTTCTGATTATGCTGAAAGACTTTATTGGGAGTTCTGCTGAGTTGGGTTTTTAAGTATATACTTTTGATCAGATTTCAGAAATCAGAATGTTTAACTATATTTATATCTGATCTTGTAACYTTTTTTAGCAATCAGATACTGTGACAGATGCCAACTTGTGAAACCAGATCGTTGCCATCACTGTTCTGTATGCGACAAGTAAGAAAATATTCTCAATATACGCTTTTTAAAATGTATTTTTTTTCTAGACAGAGAAGCTGCTATTTTTTATCCTTGGATTTTTGGGGAAGGTTGTTTATTTCTAAGGAAATCCATAGCTTATTGTAATTTGATGATTTTCTTGATTCTTCTAACATGGATTAGGTAACCTTATGCATTCTTTGTTTAAAAGTTAAATTATGAATTTTGATAATGAACTTTCCTAAGGAATGTTTCCAAAAATAGYTGCTAAACAAAAATTTGCTTTTTTCGTTAGAATCTGAATAAAGATCACTACCTAAAGATCAATCTAATCATGATGTCACTTACATCTTATCTGAGGTAATAAACTTAATATCCTATTTTTCATTGGATAATTTGAAGATTATACTTCTTTTATAAAAAGGAAACAAACAATCAAGCAGCCTCCTTTCTCATTAAAGAAGTAATATGCAGGTTTTGCTTGTGTAGCATGAAAGGAAGGTCACCTCCAGACTCCTCAGAAATCTAATTGCTCTCTTTTCTCAGTTGTTCTTCTCTTTGATGTCTCCTCAATTAGCTGAGGTGCCTTCTGCGTTTCTCCACTCTTCCCCTCAGTGAGCTAAGTCCTTAGCTTCAAAAAAGAGTTTCCTCAAACATTGATTTATTCTTAGCTTCTAAGGCTGCACCAAATACTCTTCAGACAGTAATGAATCAAACCTTGCAGCATGATTGTGAGGCAGAAAAGCCTTACTGTATTGCACAGCAAAATAGCAAAGCACTGAAGGAAGAACTGATTTAAGATGGGAAGATCTTGCTTGTTCYTCTCATACAATGCAGCTACCATTGTATACTACACAGTCTCATGTCTGGGTAGGCTAGAAAAAACGGATGACCTCTGCGGTCCTATGAAATGTGAATCAAATTCACAGAATTTCATTAGAGGAGCTATTTTGCAAAATACCTTAAGTTTGCTAAGTGCTTCTCAAAATTCACTTGCATCAATTACATCTGATGCCTTGTGCACCTTTTGCTAATGAAGACTAATTAASTGCAAAAAATATTCTGGATTTTTCATATAAGGTAAGTTTCTTTTAAAATGTCTGTGTGTGCATATGTATGTATTTATGTAAAAACTCCTACAGTTGTTTAAAAATATGTTTATTTGCATCAGTAATAGAAGTGAGAAGTAACAGAGAATAGCCAACAGTTGAAAATTTTATTCAGGCTGAGGAACAAAACCTAAAGCTGAAGTTGTARATGGGATTTTCTTATATCACTAATCTTTGACAAAACAGGTGTTTTGCACAGTTGTTGGTAAACTATATTATGTGAATTAAATAGTTGTCTTCGCTAAATAGATTAGATATCTGATGGTACATGTAATTCTTAATCTGTGCTTGACTAATTCAAATACAGCAAACAACTGTTTCTGACATTCTTGGCATTACTTGTATTTTTTGATGATTGGACTTCTGTTTTTTCAAGATGTATTTTGAAAATGGATCATCATTGTCCTTGGTGAGTATACTCTCTKCTTGCCTTTTCTACCTTTCTGATTTAGTAAAATAGACTTCTGAGGGGTCTGTTATGAAGGCGATTTTTTTACTATTCCTTCAGCTAGATGCTCATGTGAATACATTGGTCTTGCAGAACAGATGGAATTATTTGCTAATCTTCTCTTTTTCTAGCTAGGGAATGAGAAGAGAAGCTCTTATATCCTTTGTTTTAAACTTCTCTTCTCCTGGAAAGCCTCATTCTCCTCTCATGTTGCTCCTTTCCCCACTAGTGGCCATACCAGCCTATATGAAACAGTGTTTCTCTTTTCCTGGCTTTTTTTTTTTTTTTTTTTTTTTTTTTNTTTTTTTTTTTTTTTTTTTTTTCCCTTCAGCAAAACCCTTGGAACCAGCGGGTAGGTTGGCTATGAAGTTCAGCTAGGCAGATATCCCGTGGAAGCAAAGGTAGCTGTTTAGTAGTAGAAATTGTCCAAGTTAGCAGGATGGAGTGTTTGCTGRCACCTCTTCAGCACATCAAACCAGTCAGAAGGGAACCTCCTGCACACTGGGCGAGTGCAGGAGTGCAAGGGGTTCCCAGAAGTCCTTTAGACCCTAATCCAGATTCTTGGGCAGAGGACTGTGTGCTCGGGAAGGAAAGGAGGTTGGGAAAGCTCCTCCTGCTCTAGTTTTGACTGGAGCTCTGACATAATGCAGTATTACTTTAATAACRTCCCCTTATTTGCAGCTACGTGTTAGATACAACAGCTATAGGTATTCGGCTTGATGTAGTGCAGAGGTGCTTTCTACATACTCTGTGCTACAGGGATATTGGTGTGCGAGTGATCTGGGGAGAGAGGATGTTTCAGAGGCTTTATTTCAGCTATCACTCCTGTGAGAGTAGAAGGACTGTGAAGAATAGAAATACATGATGCTATTGCCTTCTAGCTGCTGTGCAAGATTTAAGTGATGCAGAAAAAGGAGCATGACGGACTTCTAGGCTAGTGCTCCTGATCCCTGTAGATAAAGCTGCAGGCAGGATTATAATGGCTTAGGGCATCCCTGAAAGAGCATAGTTTATATGTGGGAGCTCTACTGAGGCACACATGAGGAATCATGTAAAACATTTCCAGCGTCTTTGGAGTTATCAAAGAAGAATTTCAAGAGTTCTTTTTTTCTGCAAGGATTTCTGTTAACAGAGTTGTATCAACCTGGGTGCCTTACACATTACATTTTCACCTTGCATTTTTAACAACTTGCTCTTGAGCTGGCAGGAATATCTTGCACTCTTCATACTTCCACTTTAAGCATTTTAAATGTTTTTTATAAAAGAAATTGCCAATCTGGTAAGTTCTTTTACATAAATATTTTATTGAAATAAAACACTACGATTTAGCAAGTTGCCTAAATGCTTATTATATTTTAAATCTTCAAAAATGTTAGCCTTTACATGTAAACTTCATTCAGTTTTTATAATTTGATATTACATGCTCATTCATTACAATTGCAAAACCTTGGTGTTAACTTTCTTTTTAATCTTTTGATTAATATTCACTTCCAACAAAACTCCTCAATCAGGGCCTATGTCAAAACTTAGAGGAGGGAGATCATTTCTGAAAGTTTGTTTTAAATAGATACCATATATAGTAGTGTAAAAGAATACGAAGGAGAAGGCCTGTCTTTTGACTTGAGAAATTTCATCTTTGCTAAATAACATATCACTTAGTATTTTTTCTGCATATTAAACAATGTCATAAAAAAAGTCATAAAAGAAATGCCAAGGACGTGAAATAGATCTGCCATAGAAACGATGAGTTTGAATTGCTTACCATTTGCACAGAATTGCTAGCTTTGATGTAAGTAATGAGAAAAACAGACACTTTACTACAGAGAATTCTAAACCCACATTTCAATAACTATTGTGAAGAGCTTGGAAACATTTGTCTGGTTAGAACCATATCTTGTGACTCTTGCTTTAACTGTAGTTAAGACAGGCACTTAGCTATTGCTTTTTCACTGTCCAAACAGGGATGCTAAATTTAGTATTTATCCATGTAGCAATGTTTTATAATAAAGTAGTGTGCCATAAAGTAGTGAAAGTTTATCAATATTCTAAGACTTCCCTATTCTGAGTACTACACATCCTGCCTTTACCATCACCATCTCTCTAAATTGAGAATGTTTGCAATAACTTTTATTACATTTCTGGGAGAAACGGAAGCTGGGACCCCCCAAGGCTTCTTGTGTTTGTTAGAATTATTTCCAGTGCAAGAGGGCTTTCTTGGGCTCGTAGCTGTCTAAATCTTTTGACAGCAGTATCATTAAGGATGTTACCAGGATATTTTATTTCTCAGACTCTTGTTAAGAATGACACCAGTTGTGCAACTTTAACTTTGGCTAGCTCCTCAGGGCAATCAAATAAAAGAGAAAGAAAGCTGTGCATGGGCAGCTTTCCAGAATTTTAATTTGATAGATGTAATATCATTACACATTTTATGCAACTCTGAAATTTGTAATACTTAACATTTGTAATCTTAACATTTTGATATGTATTTATTATCTTTTTTCATCTATCTCTTTTGCTGTTGTCACTGATGTGGAACATTTGCTTCAACAATAGCTTCCCTGATTTTTTTTTTTTGTTTGTTTGTTTCACTTATTTTTATAAACAAAAATATGCTTAAGGATCTCATGAATATCCTTAAGTGTGAGTCTTACGAAAAAGTTGAGATTATTATTTAATACTAATAAAGGAGAATATGAATTAAATGAATTTATTCTCACAAAATTCAACTGATAATCAAAGTCTTGGATTGCAACTCCTCTAGCTGTGTGGAGTATAACTAAAAAATGGATATCTAAACCTACCTACAAACTAAAAAACAAAAGTGACTGTAACTGCAGTTCACAGTCACATTAGGTGTGCCAGGAATAGATTTCATGCAATAAGCCAAAATGTATTTGCATTATCTTGTAAAGTTCTCTGGGGTTTTGTTGTGTGGATTTTTTTGTTGGTTTTTTTTTTTTTTTTTTGCCTCAGAATTATTACATTGATTCAGGAGTGGAATCTAAGTATGTTTCATTAGCCTGTGGCATCACAGGCAGGGAGACACAGATGGAGAGGCAGAAGCTTGGTTTATATAATGGTACTAACTTCTGTTGGACTAAATGAGTTTAACTGGGAACTGGACTAAAGCAATGAATGAAACTTTCTTTACATTCCATTTTCCTTTTGACTTTTGTTGTTGTTGTTGTCAGGGTGAACAACTGCGTAGGATTCTCCAATTACAAATTTTTTCTTCTCTTCTTGGCTTATTCTCTACTGTACTGCATTTTCATTGCTGCAACAGATTTACAGTATTTTATCAAGTTTTGGACAGTAAGTACACATCTACACACTGTCTTCAAGCATAAAGTTACTCCTGTGCAGGACGTTGTATCTGAACTTTGTGTTGTAATTTTGTGTTCTAATATGATATAAATGTTCAGTTAATAATAGTAGTCTCTTCTCTCTACTTTTCTATTTGTCATAGTTTATGAAGTTTCTCTTCTATGTTATTTTGAGGTTGTATGAAACAAGTATGCAATCATTTAGAAAACCCTTTTCAAGGGATGTTACGTTTCAGATAACTTTGACTCATTTTAATAGTATATGATGAAAGAGCTTCAAAGAAAATCTGTACTGCTCTGGTTATAGTATTTCACAATCTAGGATGTTATCTCCTAAGATTTGCAATGATATAGCATAGCTATTCTAATTAGGCTAATTAAACAAGATAATTTTTTTGAATTCTTCTCTAGAAGAAGTCACTTCAAAATGCATAGTTAAGATCTAGATCCAAATTTCAGGTTCTTGTTGTCGATATTTCTACTGTCTTGGGAAAGGGTTGGTTTCTTTAACTTGCATGCTGCCAGCAACCTTGGCCAATGTTATGGACCAGCAATGTAGCACGTTCATCTTGGGCTCCTTACTGCACAGTGTTTGTGTCTGCATCAAGTTGCATTTGGTTGAATAGAGAACTTGATTAATAATCAAGTTAACTTGATTAATAATCAAGTTAAACAGTTATTTTCCCAATTCTAACAGCTTTATTCTCCATTCTTTTCAGAATGGCCTTCCTGATACTCAAGCCAAGTTCCACATTATGTTTTTATTCTTTGCCGCAGCCATGTTTTCTGTTAGTCTTTCTTCTCTCTTTGGGTATCATTGTTGGCTTGTCAGCAAGAATAAATCTACTTTAGGTAAGTAACTTTAATGCTTCTGTGTTTGACAGCTAAAAAGTAAATAGTATATGATATGTAGAGAAGACATGTAAAAAGAGGGCAAGCCTGTATGTATTCCTCTGTCCTTGTATATTGGTTAGAAAATCCTGAGCTGGCAGTGTCCAGTCCTGACTGCCTGGTTCTGCTGCTCCCCAGAAATTTTGGCTTTTTTGAGTCCTGCTCCAAAATGCCAAGCAATTAATGAACTTAATCCGTCCTCCCAGCTTCCCTCATCTGTAGCTCATCAACAGAAGCTGATTTGTTTTTTAATGAGATCACTTGGTGTAACACTTTGTGTTACAGGCACTACCACATGCTTGAACTGCTGCTCCTTGTAGGGCCTGCAGTTCGTCCTTGCCTCCTTCAGTTGTCTACTAACATTCCCTACCCACCTCCTTGTCCCCTGGAGAAGCACAGCTCCCATTTTCACTTCAGTCATTTTTTTTAGAAAGCTCTAAACAGCATAGTTAGTAATTTCAAAAATTTGCCTGCACTGGAAGCACGAAAAAATTATTCTATAAGGCAAGTTGTAAACATATTATGGCCCTTATATTGTTATTTTTGATTGACAGGAATGAGGACAAAGAGTTAATATCAGAAAATAACCTGATGCAGAAGAACAGATTTTTAAAGTAGTGCTTCTATATTTAGTAGTGGAGAACTAAAAGGCAATTTCATAGCTGCAAATCCTGTCTATCACATAGTCGTAGATGCATAGACAGGATTCTGTGTTATGAGTTATTTTTAAAAAACTTATGGAAGATAGTCTGTGCCTTTACTATGTGAGTGTTTATAACTGGATTTAATACCAACGTCAAGCCGTGATTTTCTATCATACCAGCGAATGCTTGTCTGTTCACAGGTCTAGAAAAAAGAGGAGCAAAATATTTTTATGTCCTTTTACAATATCCTGGACTATAATACTACTAGTTTGATCTTATATTTGCCAAAACATCTAGATCAAAATGGACAATAATTTATAGAATAGTAACAGAAGAAATCATTCAAACTTGTTACGTGGAGAAGAAAGTTCCGCTAATGTTATTTAAAGGAATTTATTGATTCTGTTTATAAACTATTACCAGCTTTAGTGTACATGTAAGTGAAAAATATTTATTCAATGGTAACTGAAAGTTGGTACACTTCCAACTCATTTTTCTTTTTTAAGACTAAATATCACATAGTTAATATACCATGTTTTCTGAATACATAGTCCACTCGGAAAGATGTATTTGTATCTCCTCTTTCCATATTACTTTGGGGAATAGCTCCAAATGCCAGGTCTGAAACCTGCAACAGTTTGGTAATTAAATTATGACAGCTTTAAATGTGACTATGCTTAAATCATACAAGGGAGATTTTCCTGGCCAAACATGGATATCTGAAAGGATGTATCCACTCTCTCCTCCCACTTACTTAAAGCACCTCATATCTAACACACACCTACACTCAGAAGGTCATTTTTAGCATTTCGTAGCTGAAGGTTTAATATGTTGGAAGCCCAATCTCTGTGTGATGCCAGAAGGGCCTGTTTAAGCTGTACTGTCAGTACATCAGGACAYGGTTTGCTTACTATATATAGCAAATGAAGGGAATTAAACGGCTATCAGCCGCTTGGTGGAAAGTGAACGAGTTGTCTGTTTCTGACACAACAYTTGAACCTATCTTTAGCTCTCCTCTCCAGACATTTGCATGGACATCCATGGGGTCTATAAGTGTCTTCTTTATATAGCTGTGAAAATGTAAAATGTTTTCTTACTCCCAGGATGTGAAAAGCTGATCTTACTGCTGAAGTAGGTTATGTTTTTCTTCTTTTCCATTACTGCTTAGGTAGTAGACCCTTCATGTGGGTTTTTTCTTTCTGAAGATAACTGTTAGTGGTGTAGCCACRTGGTAAAATCTTCATATGATACATGAGGTCTTCTTCAAAACTAAGTTCCTCACCCTTCCTGGTTGTAGAAGAGGATAGAGGGCAAGACTTCCACGCTTCCTCAGCCACAGGACTTCCTTTATGAATATAGACTATCAGTGACTTTGGATTTTGGGAGTGACCCAACTTTATTACTCATTTACACCATACAGTGTTTTCTCTTGGATAACGATTTCATCAGTGCAAATGACTAAACACAGGGGTGAAACTGAGATGTGTTCTCTTACAAGGAGATGTGCTGCAACTTTCTTCTTTTTTTCTTCTTTAAAGAGGTGTTCAGAGCTCCCATATTTCGTCATAGAACAGACAAGAATGGTTTTAGYTTGGGCTTCAGCAAAAATCTGAGGCAGGTGTTTGGTGATGAAAAGAAATACTGGTTGCTGCCTGTGTTTTCAAGGTATGTGTTAAGTTTTGGTTGCTTCMTTTATTGAATGATCAGGAGCCACAGGAACATCGGGGGATTTTTGTTGTTTTGTTTTAAGTTTTTTGAATTTAGATATGGTAAAATTCACTTGAAAAAAAGTATTTTTGTCAGTGCAACACTAATTCTGTATCTCTTAGTCTAGGGGATGGTTGCTCCTTCCCAACTTGCCTTGTTAATCAAGACCCTGAGCAAGCTTCCACACCTGGTGGTCTTACTTCAACATCCAAAAGGTAATCTGCTTATTGTTACGTATTTCACATAGCTGATACTCTGTGTTTCCAGGGCATGCATGGATGGAATAATGTATAACATATCTAAAAGTGGTAAGCAAATGAAGAGTTTCCTGTTAGAAATAAGGCAAAATTTAAAACAGAAAGTCCGTTGTCATTCAGCCAAGCCCGCCCAAACGGTCAGTTAASGGTTGTCCGTTAAGGGCCCCACCTGGGCCGCGGTTGCTGGGAGACGCCTGTGGGGGYGGCCTGTTCCTTGGCCTGTTCCTTAAGAGGAGTCTTAAGTCTTAAGAGGAAGACTTAGTCGCAGCCATGGCATCTTTGAAGAGTAAAAAGACTTTATTTAAGCTAAATAAATATGTCACAGTACCTTAGTATTTCATATTCAATTTTGTAGCAATATTTATATAAATGATGCACTGGATAAGTACAGTATATTGAGTATGATGAAGAAACGATAAATAATACAGTCTTTAATTCATAAAAGCAATACATTAAATTTCAGCTAGTTATTGATTGACAGGCAAGAAATATTCATCTGGAGCAGGTTTTAAGTTTTATGCCACTAATTTAGGCATGTATTTGGACTGTTGCAAGTCTGTGCATGAGGACAGGCTGGTGCAGGGTGAGTGAAGCATAGCCAAGATAAGATGCAAGATTTCAGAGATTTTCAAGTTTTCAGGGTTTATAGTGTCAGATTTGTTGCAATACAGTCATACATGTATAAAGTGCATTTAGAATTACATTTTCTTTACTAATTTATAATACCTGCTGAAGAAAAAGAATGGTTTCCCTGTTCTACATTAAAGAGTTGCTTTTTAAATTACACTTGTACTTGTGACAACTGAAATGTAGCATTTGTAGTGATAAAAGCTTAGTAATCCATGAGAATATAGGCAAGGTAAGATATAGAAAATATTGYTTAWRACACAGTGTTTGAAGTGTGCAGTAGAGTGCTGTGAAATTATCCACATTCATTTCCATGTTCTTCCATCACGTTACAGTGAGAATCACCTGTTCCCGGCAAAGCCATTGCGTGATTCCCAGAGCCACCTTCTCACTGATCCGCAGTCTTGGTCAGATATTAGTGCAAAGACTGAAAAGGGCAAAGTTGGTAAGGAATTATTTATGCTGCAGTAAATGATTTTGTAATAAATCATTTTGTTCATGGACCAGAATTGCTTTCATAGAGCTGTGCCACTGAACACAGTGGCGTTCCAAACGCACATTGTAAATATTGTAAACGGCCCATTTCCARGGCTTCCGTATCCTTCCAAGCTGCAGATGAAGATGGTGAGAAATGCAAAGAACAGCAATACTAGTTGATACTAATTATCCTATAAGCTCAGTGTGCTGTTTCTTTTAGGAGACAAATTACTTATGACGGAATCTTGTTGCAGCTGGTRAAGAGCTGTGTAATGGATGTGTGACAGGAGTAGACTGAACAGGGAACAAAACTAAGACAGTTGCTAGATAAATGATTTATTGTTTTCTAAAACGACATGACAACTTTTCATTTAAAAACAGCATTTTTTGTTTTTAAAGGCATGAGCAATCCTGCATTAACCATGGAAAATGAGACCTAGTTACTCTCAGAAGAAATGTCTGAATATTGAAGGAAAGGTAGGTTAACGTTTTGTGAGCGTAATCTTGAATTTAAAGGATGCACAAAACAGCTGTTTTTTTCCTTTTCAGTTTTATAACCATGAGGCAGTAGCACATAAATTCAAGATTTTGACATCTGGTGTTTCTGTTTTGTTTATGGGTCATGTTTTCAAAGTACTATTTAATCTTTATATCTGTGTTGGTGCTGCTTATCCACAAGCAGTAGATGGTACTGAAACAGGTTATATGAGTTAAAAATACGGGTGCCAAATGCAATTAAAGAGACAGGAAATTTTTAGCTGATGTCAGCCATTTTTACTGATCCATCTCTTTATTTATTTATTTATTTATTTTCCTCCCTAGAATCTAAACTCTCATTTCTAACCCTTCCTTCGTGGTGTGAAGTGGCAAGCACTGTGCCCTTCTGAATCAGTCAGTTGCTCCAAAAATACAGCAGCTTCTGGAAAAGAACAAATTATTCAGCTCCTATTAGTTTCACGTCACCACATGTCACCATCGCTCAAGTGCTGATGTTTTAGAACAAAGCAATCCAATAATGACGCACTGAAGCCAAAAATTAGAGAACACAACCCAAAAAACAGATCTTTGGATCAAACTATGAAATATTACAGAGTTACTACTAATTATGATTAGCTTTGTCATATGTTGCGGTTCTGCTTTCAAAACTCTAGTACATAATTTATTTAAAAACCTGTTAATCTTTCTTGGAACAGTGTGTGCATTGCCTTGAAGCCTGATTATTTAAATTATTTTGGATGTCAGATTACTTGTGGTCTGTGAATTGTTCTTGAGACACAAAGTATTTAATAAAGGTGTTGGTTGGTTTTCCCAAGGTATCTTCCTTGATAAACAATCCAGACTATTTTTTGTCTGGGAAAGCAATAGTTAGATTTGTGTTTGTGTCTTGATCTCCCCACACACATTTTAAAAGAAAAGAGAGAGACCACCTCCAGAAGATGCTGAGTCCCAAAGGATAAGTGTGAGGCCACCCAAAGAAGGGCCTGGAAATCCGTTTTGCCTCGGGCAACTGTGGGCACCCTTTGAAAGAGTGAAGAGGGATAATTCCTGTGGCATGACGGGTACCCCAGCTGTGGCTGGGATTCTTCACTGCAGCACTTTAAAGTTCTTCTGGAGATAAAACAGAAGAGCTGCATTGTTTGGTGGGTGTATGTGTGTGTGTGTGTGTGTGTGTGTGTGTGTGTGTGTGTGTGTGTGTATATGTTTATAGCTGACATACAGCTGTTGGAATAAGATGCTTACCTGAAGATGTTCTTAGGGTATTTTTCCTGGCACTCTGGCATTTAATTTTATTCCTTTATTGTCAGCATTTGAGTTATATTTGCTCCTGGTATTTTAGGATATTAGGATACTTTATTAAAGACTCTGAATCACAATAACAAACCCAACTAATCTCTCAAAAGCAACTTTAACAGTAAAAATATGGCTTACATTCTTTCAAAGGTATTGCTATTTTCAAATTTTATCCCAACCAAGGATATGATCAATCTGTATAGCTAATCAGAAAACAAATAACTGACTACCATATATAGTTTATATCAATGTCATATAGAAATGGTTTATTTACTGATGTGAAGAAGTGTGCCCCACTCACTATGGGGACAGATTTCAGTCACTGCCATGTGATGTGAATTATTATCATAACAGTGAAGTTGTCTCATATGCCCCTCTACTGTGTATGATATTTATTAAGYTATTGTGCCATCTCCTAAGACTTGTTGCAATAACTCCATTGTTAAGGTTTCTAAAAACATTTTTTTAATTTTATTTTCTGTTCCAGTTCAAGACAAAAAGCAGCTGTTGGAAGGAGGATATATTCTTCCAAAATCAGCCCTATTGGTCAACTGTTCCTGTCTGCTCTTGTGTGGATGTGCTCAGAAAACAAACTGACAGATAATTAGCTGTTTCCATATCACTGCTTGAAACATGAAACAAAGACATATACTACTTTTGAACCACAGAAAGAAGGTTTCAACTTAAAATTACTGTCCTTGAATGGTAAAAGATAATTCTGAGTATCATGAAATGAAAAAAAAAAGAAAAAAAAAAAAAAAAGAGGTGGGCTGAGATTATTCTGCAAACTATATGGCTGGTTTTACTTTGGTATTTAGCACAAGAAAAATGTGACCTTGTAACATATCAGTCCAGGTACTTGCCCTTGTTCTTGAGAATTCACCAGTTAATTCAAATTGCTGCAAGTGGATGATCTAAAAATAATATTGCACTAGCGGCTTCGTGGCGTGGGAGAACAGGCAGTGTTGATCATTACTAACGGAGGGGCTCGGTGGGCTCTGCTTTCTTTTGCGCTCTTGGCAAGCTATTTTTGCAGCTAAGGCAGCCTGAGCAAAGCAGCAGACTGGACTTGCAGCGTGTCTGGAGAGCAAGAGCGCAGAGGCTCCCTGTCTCTCAGCTGGGGCCACCAGCAGGTTGCAAGAGATGGAGGGAAGAAACACTCCTGTGTCACTGAAGTGCCACAGCTGCGGTCAGACACTCGCGAGCGGAGCGCCCACGAAAGCCCACGCGCAGCTGGGTAAGATACAAATGAATCTGGCCGRCAGGGATTGTGATGAAAGCTGTGCAGGACAGTCCAACGCAGGCGGAATTTATTGTCCCGGTTGGAGCCCTTATCCCCAGGGACAGGAATGTTGGCATTTCGCTTTGAGTCAAGCCAAGCTGTGCTCCTGAGAGTCACTGTCCTGCAAAATCCTAGTTTGCTTAGTCAATAGTTGTCTTTTCTCAATTGTTCTTTAAGACACTTCATTTCTTATTGCTTAACCCAAGGAATATTAAATACAAACAAGGAGATTTACTATCATTAGTTGTGATATTTACATTTACAGGAAAAAGGACATTTGATTGTAATACCAAAAAGCCAGACGGTTGCACGTGGGAAACCCCTTTCAACTAAGTTAGGAGATAGTGGCTTTCTTYGGAGCAGTGATTCCCAGGCGGGTGATAAAAGATGCATTATCAGCTTTCAAAGACAAGGAAGTTTCAGCAATCTAATTGTCTTGTGCCTTTCGTATACACTATGTTTATGGTATCACAGTGTTTACATATGAATGCAAAGTAATCGTGTTATTTGGAAAACAGCTTCAAGAGGAAYTTGGTTATACTTCTGATGTGGCTGGGTAAGAAAACTAGTCTTAAACACGAAACCAAAAGATTTTTCATATTCAGTTCAGTTGAAGCAGAAAAGTGTTTCTGCTCTCCAAACTGAAGGACTTATCAGCTGGTTCACAGGGCAGATTCCAGTTTGTTATGGACTAGCAAATCCATGTAAAAAACTGGCACCATGACCAAGTGACACATTCCTGAAAGCAAAGTATCGTATCACCAATTCTTCTACAGGCAGGTAGAACTCTGATTTTTTTTTCCTAAATTTACAAATAAGGGGAAGATAGATGGCCACGGGGACGCAAACATGACTCCCTAGTGGGGAAAACAGGACCAAGGGGAGGCCATCCCTTTTACAGGACCAAGGGGACACCGTCCCTTTTCCCATCACTTCTCTCTTGGGCTCCAATTCTTACCAGCCTGAAAACATCTGTTTCTTGCCAGAAGTGCCAGAGTTATGGATTCCTTGACATGAAACACTTAAACTAGCATGAAGGTAGCATACAGTTTACACGATACAATCATCTAGCAACCAAAAGAAGTTTTTCGTAGCTGTTTATTCAGTGCTGTTCTGTCAGCTTCCTTTGTATCTATCAGTGGTTATTTAAAGGCTAACTTGTCAAGGAATAGGGGGGAGAGGGGAAATATATTTTTAACACTTCAAGTTCTCTTTATCTGTATAGTCTTGGTTTTATGTGGTTATTCAGGGGGTGCTTTACCATGGAGCATGCATTTCAAATTGCTGTAGAGTTGAAATTCAGCTTTAATGTAACTTGCTCCATATTTCCACACAAAGACTAAGGTCAGATTTCCTCCCCAGCGAAAGTCACAGTGGGATGAGATCTCTGTCAAATATAGATCTCACACGTGGCTTTCACAGGAGCGAAATGGGCCTCCCTGCCTGTGCCCAGGCGCTCCGGGAGCTGGGGGGCAGAGGAAGGACAAGGATACGGAATTGAGAAACGGGCATCTGTTCTGTGTCTGGAGGTCACGTTTAGAAAGCACAATAGCCCTAGACGCTGCAGTTTGGGTGTAGCCCTGGACGCTGCAGTTTGGGTGTAGCCCTGGACGCTGCAGTTTGGGTGTAGCCCTGGACGCTGCAGTCTGGGTGTAGCTGGAGGAGCCCCAGGGCCGGCAGAGGAGCGCGGGCGGCTCTGCTGCAGGTGCTGGGCGCAGGGCCTGGCGGGCACCCCTGGGCTCCAGGGTGCCCTCCCAAACACCTGTGAGCAGAGGGGGAAACTCGTCCTGTGGGCAGGGGGTGCTGCTGAGGGCTGAGGGAAGCCGAGCGCACTGCTGTGGGTCGTCTGCTTACACCTTTCTTTCATCTTGCTAGGCACTTTACTACAGCCTTACGTGTAATTTCTGTAAGCTTTTTTTAAAAGACTGCTTTATACTTCACTGTACAGTTAATCTTTACTAATCTACTCTTTTGCTAAATATAGCCCTGATATTTGTCTAGAGGACCTCTGCGCCTCAAGCTTCAGTGGAAATGGGATGAAACTCCTTGGGCCTGACTCCCTGATGATGGCAGGGGTTAGTTTATTTTGTATATGTGTAAACAGCTCTATGAAGCATTTAACCACTCAGGTCTGTGCAACAAGCTCCCTTAATGGCAGGGTAGAACAGCCCCATACGTGTCTGCTCCAGACGTGGTCCACACGTGTTCTCTGTCAACCAATGTACCCAAGAGACGTAATCCTAGAAGTCACAGAGAGCTATTTTTATTAAGAAAACAAAACACCCAAGACAGGGTGAGCTCCTTCCATTAAGCTCTTTAGTAAGAGACACTAGACCACTACTGATACGCACTTTAATCCTTTAACTTAAAAAAAAAAAAAAAAAAAAAAGTCCCTCTTTAGTTGTAGATTTAAAGCTCTTACACAGCTTGTTACTGTGGGCAGGGAACCCCTAGTAACTTTTCTTTTGACTGTGAACTTCTACTGCCACTAATCAGGGTCTTCAAGCAACATGTCAGCACGGCTGGAAGAAGCAAGTTTGATACTGTGTGTGTGTTTTAGTGCACGATATTGAATATCAAAAGCATAATTATTTAATAACTGTTCTGTTGGTTCTAAATTGAGATTGAAATATAGTTTTTGCCCTGATTCAGTTGATTAGTATGTTGGATGGAGGGGGGAAAAGTGTTTCCACATATCTTTAGTGTACAACTTTGCACTTGTTAATGTATTGCTCACATAAATAAATGTCTCACATTCAGCACCTCCTGCACAAAGAGTTGTCTTTGACCTGCTGCTTTCTGTTGCCCTGACCTGTACCAGTTAAACTAAACCTCTTCTTCCGGGGACCAGCTGAGACTAAAGCAACTCTCACGTGTTACATGCATCTCAGCCTTGCCCTGTACTTGATACAACTTCTATCCACCCTGTTTCTACACGAGCAGGGATTCTTTTATTAAAACCGCTCCATAAATGAACACAAAAGCTTTCAAACTAAATGCAAATGTTAAAGCTCAGACTGGAGAAACTTAGAGGCGAGTSTCTCCTCCGGTGCCAGAGCCGCAGCCCAAACCCCACCAGCCCCACCACCACCACACAGGGGTTAAGCAGGTGGGTGACGGGGCCGCCGGCACCAGGAGCCTTTTCRTCTGTGACCTGGAAAAAGGGCAGAAAAAGCAGCAGCCTTCCAGGGCAACGCTGAGCAAGCACCAGGCTTACCCTGACGAAGGCTGTCCCACCTTGCTCCTTACAGAGGGAATCTCTACAGCTTCAGTTTTCAATTTCTGGTCATATTCCTCCCATTCTGGAGAGGTGACTCCATCATTTCTCTGARGTATCCTGATGATACCCGTCACTGAAATACAGCAACTTAGTCAACCTGAATTCTGACTTGATAGTTTCCAGTATTTGGGAACAGACCCAATGCTCCCTGACAGTCACCACGCTCGGAAACCCTTTTCCTGTTTTTTTTCTTTTTTTTTTTTTGCCCTGAAAACAGAAAAATGCTCAGTTCACATAAGGAGGAGACCTGTTTGTAAGGACAAGCCCCACCAAGCACACAAACTCTTTGCTGCAGCCTCAACAACAGAACCTGTTATTTTCCATGTAAACCCGAGACTGGACAGCGGCTCCAACAGCACCTGGCACAGCCCCCCGGAGCAAGGCAGTAACTTGGAGCCTGGCACAAGCACCCTGGCCATTAACCCCGCTACCAAACAGGTGCCCTAGGGCACGCGGAGRGACAGCAAGGGAGCGGGAAAGGGAGCCTGCTGAGCTCAGCTATGAGGCAGAAAAGTAAATCAAAGGTGCTGTCAACAATTAAATGCTTTTGTGTTGTAAGAAAACACTGTTCCAGGTGGTGACAAGTGCAGCCACGAGTCTGAATTGGTATCCTGTAAAATACAATATGCTCTGCAGTGCAGCACAACCYTGCAAATGCAGCTGGACTCCTTTACAGAGAGGCTTCCCTTTCCCTCCCTCCCCACATTTCACCCGACACTCCTAAATGAAACAAATATTTTGTGAGAGCAGGAAGCAAATTCTCCTGCTTCAACAGCCACTAAGAAAATAGGTCTCAGAAGCAAGCGGCACTGGCAGAAAAAAAAAGTCCTAAAACCTGATTCATTGTGGAGGTAATTTTGTCTTTAGCTAGCCATGCTCAAGCTTGGGATACCAGTTGGAAGTTTGAAACCCAAGGCTCAGAAATGCAAGTTGTTAAGTAAAAGAGATGCTTGAAAAAGTGAAAAATAGACACTTAAAAAAAAAAAAAAAGGTAAAAACAGGTAAAAAAAAATTCAGGTACATTTCCATCCATTCTGCCTTCTAATTTACTTAGCCCTTCACCATTCTGCTGCCGGACCACAAAAACAGAGGGGTTACCCAGAAGAGTTTCACAGAGCTGAACAAGCACTATCACTCGAGTGAATAGTTGACTATATATCAACTAACAGGATTAAATGCAAGATTTCTTCAGCACTAACACAAGATAGGACCTTTTCCTTAGAAAAAAATTAAAAATAGAAAACTTCATATCATCTGCCATTCGCTTTCTATGAGAAGAACATCTTAGAAGATCAGCTTGATGTTGTAACTTCAGTTCTGAGGTACCTCCTCTTACCAACACTGCTGAACAACCACCAGAAAAGCAACCTTCTTGTTGCCGGGCAGGTCTCTCAACAGGTTCAGCTCCAGACGGGCTGTTTCCTTTCTTGACCCCAACCTGTCTGTGTGCTCAGAACGTCTCTGTCCTCCTCCTGCGCCACCTGTCCCCGTTTCCAGCCCTTGGAGTCTTCATTTCTGAATTAACTCAGAATTCACTCCTTGTTCATCAGGGCTGGTGTCCTGCCACTTCTGCTTGATTTTCTGCATGTGGGGATGAGCCGTTCCTGAGCTTAGAGGAACCAGTGAGATGATACAATTAAGGAAAAGCCTTRGGTGTCAGAGGTCATCCTCAAATTCACCATAGAAAAAGCCTCAGACCTCGTTTCCAGACCTAGCTTCCTAGTTTGCTCTGTCTCAAGGATCCSTGTTAGGTAGCATCAATGAGAAAAGAGACTGACACTTAAAAATATAAAAAAATATGACAGAACATTATGTTTTGCAGATGACACCAAGCTGGGTGGAGTGGCCGACACYCCGGAGGGCTGTGCTGCCATCCAGAGGGACCTGGACAGGCTGGAGAGTTGGGCAGAGAGGAACCTCATGAGGTTCAATAAGGACAAGTGCAGGGTCCTGCACCTGGGGAGGAATAACCCCAGGCACCAGTACAGATTAGGGGTCGACCTGCTGGAAAGCACCTCCACGGAGAGGGACCTGGGAGTCCTGGTTGACACTAAAAGTTAACCATGAGTGAGCAGTGTGCCCTCGTGGCCAAGAAGGCCAATGGGATCCTGGCCTGCATCAGGAGGAGTGTTKCCAGCAGGTCGAGGGAGGTGATTCTGCCCCTCTACTCAGCTCTGGTGAGGCCGCACCTGGAGTACTGTGTTCAGTTCTGGGCACCCCAGTATAGGAGGGACGTGGAGCTTCTGGAGAGGGTCCAGAGAAGGGCAACCAGGATGATTAAGGGAATGGAACATCTCTCGTATGAAGAGAGGCTGAGTGAGCTGGGCCTYTTTTCTCTGGAGAAGAGACGACTCAGAGGGGATATGATTAATATGTATAAGTTCAGGAAGGGAGAATGCAGGGAGGAAGGGGACAGGCTGTTCTCACTGGTGGCCAGAGACAGGACGAGGGGTAATGGCCACAAGCTGAAACACAAGAAGTTCTGTCTCCAGGTGAGGAGCAACTTCTTTACTGTTAGGGTGACAGAGCCCTGGAACAGGCTGCCCAGGGAGGCTGTGGAGTCTCCTACTCTGGAGGTCTTCAAAACCCGCCTGGATGCCGCCCTGTGCCACATGCTGTAGGTGTGCCTGCTCGAGCAGGAAGGTTGGACTAGATGATCTGTAGAGGTCCCTTCCAACCTTGAATATTCTGTGAATCTGTGAATCTGTTCCTGGAACAGACACAAACATTTGACTTCCAAAGCCACTGCAAGTAGGGGGGAAAAAAAGGCAAAATAATCCCTACATATCAGGTTTTTATATTATATTTCTTCCAACAAACCTAATCAAAAATAGCTTTTAAATGGACTGGCAAGAACCCAGGCCAGGAAAGAGGATTCTTGTCTCTGAACAGAAACGGTGCATGTCTAGACAGCTGGACACGTGCCCGTGCATTTGTTTTCACAAAAGCAATTAATCCCRTCTGCTTTGGAAACATTTACATTGTAGAAATTCTGCAGCTTGGAAGTGACAGTCTTATACAKTAGGGCAATAAAAATACAAAGGCAAGCTTTTTTCACAATCTCTACAGCTCCCCATTTGAATCACTCCTTAATGGAGACTAAATCTAATTCGGCCACGGAAGGTGAGCGCTGCACAGCCCAGCCCAGCCGCGATCCGCTCTCCTGCTCACACAGGGCACATCGGAGCACAGCAGGACTTTGCCCATGGAATAAAACACGATCTTAGCGTCACGCTGGGGACTTCTGAGGAGACCTTTCCTTACAGCAAGGAGACAAGCGAACAGAACTGCTTAAGGGCAGACATCCCACAAGCACTTTGAGCCAGGCTTTTGCAAGCTCGGCTGATGTCACGATAAAAATGCATAACCCTTTTTCTCCCAGGTATTTTCCCATGCAAGCCAAAGACAGAAGTAAGAAATAAAATATATCACATTACCTTGTATACATAAAGATGTCAAAGAAATCGCTGGTGGGCTTTGGACGCCTCAGGACTAAGTTGTASCTGCATCTCTCCAGCAACCCAGGTCCTCGGAACAAAGTCACTGGAAGCCTGTGAGAAGAGCTGAGCTCCGCTCTGCTGCTCTCCCTTAACTCCGGGAACTGGAGGTAGAATCAGCCAGGGAGCAGGGAATCGGATCATTTTATAAGCACAGGAAAGAGAGCTATCATGCTTAGATATAACAGCATACAAAGCTCAACTGAATATAATAAACACCCCAGGAGAAGTTTTGCAACAAAAGCACCAGTCTGTAGTTATGTAAGAAAACATTTCTGAAGCCTTTATTTACAAAAGCTTTAAAAACAAATACCCTCTGTTATGCAAATAATTCGTTGTTTTAAAAAGGACCACCCAGTTACATCATCGTAACTCCATGGAAAAAAAAAAAAAAAAAGGAGAAGAAGTTTTTGAAGTACAAGGTAAAACAGGGTCATTTGGCGAACAGTGGAGCTCTCCCGCTACCGACTGGGGGGGACRGGCACCGGCTCCCGCGCGCGGGCACCCGGGGCCGCACGCTCCATCATTCCAGGCTACTCTTTAGCTATTCAACACCAACACTCCTGCCTGCACCACTGCTCTGCACRCAGGCCACGCAGGGCGAAGAACTTGCTGTAGGGTCCTTTAAAACAATATATCTAAAATATATTGCTAAGATATACTCAAAAATAAACTAGCATTACACTCCTCAGGTAACTTTATTAGCTATAAGTTATTTATATTTTGTTGTTTTACAACAAATCTCTGTAACATCTCTCTTTGTAGCAACTACAAAAAAGCACGATTTAATTGTTCTTCTGATTTAATAATTCAATTAAATAGCATTTTTCCGGTCTTTGGGTTTTTCTCTTTAACTAAACTGCCTTTCAAAAATCCTCAAATCAAGTACATAATAAATATGACCTCATAAAAAACACGTGGGCTATACATTAGGAGACTAAAAGCTCGGAAGCTAACGGAGGGCCGCGGGCCCTTGCAGCATTCCCATATGCAGCTCCCAAATCCTTCCACTCCCGGCTTAGTGGCAGCGACGCTACCGTGAGAGCTGTTCTGTTCCTGAAGGGTGTAAGGCCGGTTTCCCAAACGTCCTTCCCCCAGCAAGGAGCGAGCGGTTTGGAAGCAGCAGCAGGCCAGCCACAGGCTGGCACGTGCAGGATGTGTTTGGCCAGGACTGGACACGAGTGAAACAGCAGCAGTTATTCCAATTTCAGTAGTTTGGTTTKGCTCGAACCAATGGAGGTTACGCAGCGAATGAGCCATGGGCTACGGGCTGATGCCGAGGGAATTCAGAGTGAAGCTGCTGGACTTGGCGACTGATTGTTTTCTAGCTAAGGGCAAAAGGAAAAATAGCTTCAAATAAAACAGAGGATCTGAGTCAGAGTCACCCTCTAAAGTGCAAATTTGATGGTCCACAATCTTGAATAGCTAAAACGCCTGCAGACTGGAAGGGACAGACAAGAAGGGGGAAGCTGGTTATAATCAGTGCTAGTTAATTTGTAGGAGGAAAAGGGGGGTGGGGAGAGGGAGAGACAAAAAAAAAACTAAGACCAACTAGGTAAGTTTACAAGACTATTCATTATGATTTAGTTTTCCCCTCCTCTCTGCCACACTGATCCTGTACATACTTCTTTACAAATGGGCTAGCTATGATAGCAGAAGTAACCCAGAAAATTCTACATATTAAGATCAAAATCTGTGATAGGAACAGTCAGGTTTAGTACATAGAAAGGCAGAAAAGAACGTGTGCTGAGAAAGGGGGAAAAAAAGCCTTATTGTCCAAGGGGTTCAACCAGAGATAAAACCTATATACAAGCACGTGGAGCTCCAAAAAGACGGCCTTTCATTTCATGTCATGACTGCTTGTTGGCTTCTTCTTCATAGGCGTTTCCTGTGCCATTTTGCACATACGATGACCCCGAACCAAGGCCGTATAAGTGGCCACAATATTTGGCATCGTCAATGTGATCTTCAAAGAACATCTAAGGAGTTAAAGGAAATAACACAAATTATTGCCAAAGAAGTTGTTCAGCCTAGAAGAAACCTGCACAAAGGCTTAAAAAAAGTTGCTTGGGTTTTAGCCTCACACATGAAGTCCCAAGGTGCAATGGATGACACGATATCACAACAACACACACAATCTCTTCGAGTGAAAACGTGATATACATCAAAGCAAGGAATCCAATCCATCTTCCCASATATCTGCCCTGGTGAAACAGCCAAATACCAAGGGTGGTTGATGCTGCGCCATCAGTCGTCACCCCCTTTTCTGCAAGTGCAAACGCATTTCTCCAGCTGATTTCTGTGGGGCTCCCTGCTGCCCTCCCAGCTGCCTGCTTCTCCCCATAGGCGTCTGTGCTCTACCTGCTCCTGCACGTGAGGCTCTCACACGAGTCTGCCTCGAAATGGAGATAGCTCCTGCTTCATGAGACACGGCTGTCTGTCTGGGGGGGCAATGCAGAGCAAGGGGGTGCTGAGCACAAAACCCRTTACTGATTTTGGGGGAAAACAGTTTGCTGCTTCTCTGGCTACCTTCTCATCGCAGAGGGGCACTTGGTTTAAAAGGGAACAGCAAACGAAAGCAAATTTTGCAGTAAAAYTGTGCTTACCCTGGACTTCTCAAGTCTTAATTACCAAGAGAATCCTTCCTGAGAAGCCCTATGAAACTCTAAGATATTCTGGCTCTCAGGCCTAGGTTTTCAAGGAAGGAGACAATCTCTCCCCACAGAAATAAACAGGACAACCCATCCCTCCCTCCACACACACAAAATCTCCACTCTAAAAAAAGCTTCCTGGTGGCCATCCCAGGGGTGATCCCAGGGTGAGACCATGAGCGGCAGAAGCCTCGGGCAGCCGGAGGCCTGYGGGAACCAAGCAGCACCCGAGGGTTACACGCATGCGGCTGCTGTGCCGAAAGACTGACTGTGCTGAGAGTTTTGCTCTTTGCAGAACTGTCYAAAAATGGAAAAAATTAGGAACCCTCAGCTTAAAGAGTTTTGAAGCTGTGCAGTTGCTCCTAAAGAAGCAAAGGGGAAAGTGGCAAACCCACAGGCCTACAGTTGTGGCATCAGCATTTAACTCTGATGAGAAGGAAATATAATAATATAAGCTTTGGGCGGGGAAGCAAAGTCCCAGCCAGCACGCTGCCTCCCCTGAGGAGCAATCGGCAACATAGTATGTTTTGTCCCTTCAAAACCATTGTAACACACTGTTTTTCACTAGGCCACATAGCATTAAACACTCAGCTCTACTGGAAAGGCTTTAAAAAGCATCCTAACCTTTGCTGATTATTGCTCTGTTATTTAGAAACGCCACTGTTTAATGCATCTCTGAAATATCATCATCATCAAACCATATTTGTTGGCTTCATTATAATTTGTTATTATTATTATTTTCTTTAGCTGCTTTGGATTTTGTTCCAAACTCAAGAGGGAAGGGTGAGCAGTCCTGGGCAGACTGCAGGGAGCCCTGTGAAGCTTACACCAGAAACACAACCCCAGTGCCAGGGCATTTTACCTTCTATTCATGTAAAACATCCCAATAGCCCCATGTTGTACACAGATGGGCRGCTGGGATAGGCTAAATCTGCAAGACCTGGCTTCCCTTGCCCTGAGCTTCCAGTTAACTGCCTGGTGTCCAGTCCAGCAAGTTTATGAAAAGCAGCAATCCCACCTGACTATTGCAGCACCTTACTACCATGAAGACAAACCAATATGTGCACCTACTTCTCTCATTTTGAAAAAGGCCATTCCTGTGAGTAAAGAATCAGATCCTGCCTGATGCTGTGGTCCTATCCTTTCCAGCTCTAACTGCTCAGCCACTTCTTGCAATCCACCCTGAAAAAGAAAACAGTACTGTTAACTGCAGAAGAAAACACAAAATAAAAATCTGAACTGCAATGTTTAGGAAAAAAATGTTCCCTGGACCTACAACCTCGGGTGTATTTTGAAGTTTGGCAGAGTAGCTGAAAGAGTCACCACGCCTGACAAGCGCAAGCCTGGAGAATCAATCCTGTGCCAGTCCTAAACACAGTATTAGCTGTGACCAACCAAGCTTCTACTCCTCCAGGTTTGATTCTCCAGGAAACAGAGGTAAATTTAATTCCTTTACATGTTTGAAAAGTCTGGCACACAAGATGAACAGAACAAGGTGCTCCTGTTTCAGGGAAAATTTAAAAGGTGAAAATGCTGCTCTACAAACACAGGAATTCAAGCACTTATGAGTGGGATGCACAGCAGATGCCTCCGTATGTTAGAGCACCTAGGTTTCCTCTGAAATACATTTTTCTTTCCACTTACCTTTCAACAGCTAAGCTAGCGTTTTTTTCACTTCCCCTCACAAAAACTTTACTATCCAGAACACTGGATGGAGTTTGGGAAATTGTGACACTTTTAAACACCAGGTGCTAAGGTCAAAACAAGGCCTGTCCCTCTCTCCAGGACATTTTTATCCTCTTTATATTTAAAGCTTGTTTTGTTAACTACAATAAGATTGCAGGAAAAAACACATGCTTACACACACAAGAAAACAGTGCCTTGTAACTAGCTTTAAGGTACTAAGAGCCAAAGCAAAGGTCAGCTTTTCTCTCATATATATACTTAGCAGCCTTTAAAACAGCCCCACTACATTTGTAAGGGGAGCTATTTCTTGCAGGAAGGGTATGAGCAGCTCCCACACAGAGAGCAGCTCACATTTAAAGCAGTTCCTCTCGGATCCCTGGTACAGGATTTAAAATGACAGCTCCAAAGACTGAAGGTGCAGACACCACCGCACAGCGAGTTGCTCTCAGAGCTAAAGCCTCTGCGGTTTTAAAGCAATTTTTCTCCCYTTTAACTTTAATGTATGTGAAAGCCCTGGCAACTCAGACTATTCCCTAGACTGCAGTGGCTAAATTAACCCTTCAATTTAGTGCCAGAAAATATGAACCACCATCGCTTGCAGAAGCAAACCTCTCAAAAGACAGGGTTTTTTTTGTGTTTTTTTTTTTTAACATAGATAGCATACATGTCCTTAAACTGATCTGTGTTACTTCTATTTGTTTTCTAATACAATAAATTACACAGCAGGAACACCGGGGACATCATTTTGCAAAAGCTCTCCTGTATCATTAAGAAAGCACGTTGGTGCATTACAGTGTGCAAAGGAGAAAGAGAAGCCCTTCGTGCACCTGCAAAACCTGCACAACAAAACACAGCACAGGGGCCGTGGCTTTGCAAAAGATTCCCTAGTGTGAATTCACCTGCTCTCACATCCTTAACCTCTTTTGAGGACAGGAAGGGAAGCAGGGAAACAAAAGGGTAATAGTGCAAGCTGAAGTTCAAAGAGCAATGGAAAAAAAGATTGTTTGCAGAAATGTTTTGAAAATGTCTATGATCCTTACAGCTACAGGTTTGGGCCTGGGGTTTTGTTAAAGAAGTCATAATAGTCCCAAGTAAACCCTACAAGCAACATGGAAATCAGGCATTTCATTCTAGCTTGAGCAGCACGAGCCCAGGGCTGTTTAAGAGGAGGAGAAGCCCAGGGCCCAGGCAGCTCAGTGCTCCTTGCTGTCTCCTTGCACCCAAACGCTGCAGCCTCAGGCTCCCTGGGCTGGGAACAGGCCCTTGGAGAAGGGGCTGGCATGTGGAAAGGAGGAGCATCCGGCTGCCAGGCTCTTCCCTGCTCTCCCGCTTACCCCTGGAGCTGGGCACTGCTGTGAACCCTGCTGAGGYACCCCGTGCTGCTTCTCAACCCCTTCAAGCAGGGACCAAGCTGCACTTTGGCATCAGGCTCTTCTATATGAGACTATTTACACCCGCTTCCCCTAGCTCTGGTTTTTATTACACAAGGGTTTTTTTCCYTCACTGATGTTTACGCTGGCTACAAGTTCTGGAACGTAGATGTAACAACTAAATGTTTACAGTGACAGACACCTATAGAGGAATGTTTTGAAAACAGTGCTTTCAAAGTTATATTTATTTTTAAATTCATCAAACACTACTACTGTGAGAAACATTTTGGACTGTAACTGCTAGAATTATAGAGTAAGTCTCAGCTCSAGATGGAAGTGCTATTGAGATTCACTTTCAGACAAGACTTTGGCATTTTAGGTAAGATYGCTTTTCTCTTGGGAAAAGAAGATGGGAAGACAGAAGAACAGAAACCAAAGGAAAACAAAAATGGAATTAGTCACAAACTATGGATTATATCACATCTTCTGCCTGCTGAGATACAACTTTCCTTTTCTRTAGAGATCTTTCTAGAACAACCAGATTTTCAGAGGAGAGGGTCAACAGAATGATCCATGCAATCACGTTACCAAAATCAACAGCAAATCCAGGCCAGCTTCTCAACTTCCATTGCACTGAAGAGTTCATTGTTCTGTACAAACACTTTTATTTATCATTACTCCGGAAAGTATGGAATGGTCAACATAGAAAGGTTTGTAGAGAGTAAACCAAAAATATAAGTCTATACTGCATTTTGGTATTTCAAATTAACTCTCAAACTGTATACCCCTAAGGTGCACACAGGCCCATTTGAGTTAGAGCAGAGTAGCATACTGTAAATTCAGAGACTACTTTAATTCCATAAGAGAGCAACAAATGGCTTCCGAGTCCTAAGGGATGCTCTCTTCTCAATGCCAAAATGCATTTTTTGATGGGTGCAGGGAAGCTACAGCAAATGAGTGTATTGCGTAGAGGAAACTATAGCAAATGAGTGCATTTCACACATGGAAAAATAACTTACACAAGTCAATAAAGGACAAGTGCACAGCAGTTCAGTTCACTGCAATTTAATAGGAGATTTAAAGTGACATATGTTAGGAGACAGCGCATGCATCTGGAGAGTCACAGGAGTGCAGTGCTCGCTACAGAGCTGCTCTGGGCACAGAGCAGTTCCACCATCATTTGGTATTTGGTGTTTGCAGGGGCTGGGCAGACCACATCCCTTCCCCTTCTGTCACCACCAGGCTGCAGGTTGGATGACAGGATCGAGATTTATCCCAGGAAAGCTGACCTGAGTATCAAACTGAAACATCCTCCTTGTTCTTGACTTTTGCTGAAGTAAGATCTGCAAGGGTTTTTCTCATCTTTTAAAATACACTGGAATCTCTAAACAAGTCAGATTACATAAAACTACTACTTAGTGAAATGATAGGAAATAGAATCCCYCCCTTCCTGCCCCCATTCCAAATGGGCACTGTCACTAGGAGCTTATTAAATMTGTCACCTTTCCCAACATACTGAGGTTGGATTATACACTTTGTTCTTAGTGTAAACTGCCACCAGTAGGACACCGGGACTTTTTTTTTTCCTTCACCAGGAAGTCCATTTTTCCTCCTGGTCTCACTTGCAAAAAAGCAGTTTCTGAAACATTCTTTAGCACCTAGTCTTTTGCCAGGCTGATCATCCCAACAGCAACTCTGGATGAGCACAGGTAGGAATACTTCCTTGCTCACTGGGAACAGAGATCTGCATTTTCTATGTCACCTTGGTTAACAAGAGGCATTACAACCTTACTACCCACACAAGTGGGCTGCTCCTTAGAAGTGACACATTCTGCTGGGTTAACCTCAGAAAGGAGCAGGACTGCCAAGCCCACGCAGATCACTAGTTCAGCATGCTGACGTGGCAGCYATTCCTTAGTCAAGACTGCATGGTACTAAGGCAGGGTTCTTCTTTTTCCTTTATGTTCCCATTAAGAAAGTCGAGAGAACTGGGTTACTTGCCACGAAAGTAGCGAGTCCTTCACTGCCTCAGATGAACCTCATTCCAGCAGCAGTCCAGATTCCCAGTTCTTTGGCAAGCAAAGCTGTAACAGTCCCCGCAGCTCTGGGGTCCCATCTGTCACTTTGCTGTCTTCCCCTTCACACACTTAGCTCCAGTTTGCATTCATTCTCCAGTCCAAAGGAGTCTTCTCCAAATTTTAAGCCCAACAGAATAAGTCAATTAGTAGCCCCACTGGCCTGACACATGAGATTAGTTTCTAGCACTGCATTTTTCTCCTAGAAGTTGCATGTTGTCCCTGAGCATACGCTGCTTTTTGTCTTTCCTTATGGGGCCACGTGAAGCTCTCCTTGCTCCATTCCTCTTCCCGAGGCTTCCACAGCATTACTTGTTGTCATTACCTTTGCCAAGACGACTGCAGTCCTTTAGTGGACTGCACAATAAGAAAATAAGAGTATAGGAAACCCATCAATTCTTATGGCTCGAGAGAAGGAGCACTTCCAAACGTGGGCTTATCTGGCAGCACAGACTACACGCAGCTACTGATACAATATCAGCTTCCTCTTTAACTGGTAAGCGGTTGTAAAAGTTGATGTGYGCTCCTGCCCTCCTCTATCAGTAGCCTTTAATATTAAATATATAAAGTTTGGATAAAAAGTGCTGATTAATGGATAATAACAAGGCAAAACAGGACAGAAACCAAGAAAATCACTTGGAAGAAAATTCTCTCTTCAGAAATAGAGCCTGCTCCGAGGCATGTAACAGGCTACTTACCTTTAGATTTTTGCAACTCTTCATGAGATATTTTACATCGTAGATGACAGGGAAAAACAATCTCAATATCTCAAAGAAGTCCAGCTCTTCTTCAGGTAAATTAGAATTTGTCAGGATTTTGATTAGATAGCCAAAGTCATATCCACTGCAAATTAATAACAAAAACAACATAGGCAAATAATTTAGAAACATTCTTCTCACTTCCAACATCAAGACTTTCTTTATGTACACAACAGGAAGACACTTTGCTTCATTTCACACAACTCTGATTGACTCTTATACAAAATCAAGTATCTGAACTCAAATGATCCTACTGCAGCTTCTACAGAAAATATGGAAAACTCAGGGCTGCCTAGAGGAGTTCTCCAAACCCTGAAACAAGATAGAAGTACTGCTGGGGWTTCACCTACTGCAGACTTTATGCCAATAAAGGCTTATTTTCTAGTGATGACTACCCCTTTCCTAGGAAGGCAGAGCCTAAAGGTCAGTGCTGCACAGTAGCTGCTGGCTGCAAGGACTGCCAGTCCCCAGGCACAGCTGCTCAGCCAGTGCCGGGCTGCTCAGCCTCTGACCATGAGCAGGCACCGCTGAGCAGGCACAGAACCAGAGCACAGCACGTGTGMGCGCTGCAACTGCACGGGCACTTGCAGGACACTGGAGAGGCAGCTGGCACAGGAGGAGGACACTCGCCCTGTGCTTGAAGGGTCAGTCGTGCACACACGTGTTGAACAGGATCAGGGGACCAGCCCTGATCTGCATTATTCAGTCAGCATTGAATTAAATTGCTTCCTAGATTTGGTTTATTTGTATTATTTTCAGAAAAGCCTGTACCAGCAGGGGGATAAAACAAAACACAGGGCTGTCTTTTGAAGGCCACATCGGCTTATGTGGCCTTCTTAGCATGCAGCCACAGCACAATGCAAATGAACAGGCGGCCACTACACAYTCCTAATTCACAGCTTAAAACTTCATGTTTGAGCCTGGTAGCATGAGGATTATATCCTAAAAATGAAAATTTTGCAACRTGGTCCAAATCTTGCCCAGGGCCTTGGAGCTCTAACCATACAGTGAGTACTACAGCACCACTGATCCTGCAGACACTCAGCACCTGCTGACTTTCCATGCAGGGCCAAGGCTTTAGCTTGCTCACTACACACAAGAACATGAGTTTTACATGTYTTGTATATGACATTCTTGGCACCGCCTTAGTCTTATGAATTTCTACATAKATGCTAGAAAGTCTTCAACGTGGCAAGAGTGAATGGATTGTTTCCCAAAAAGTCCATTAACACAAGACACAGGAAAGGCAGAAATTGCTAGAGCTCTCAGGGGCTTCCTAAGGGGTACTCTGATGGGGACATCAAGTYGAGTAGAGCCAGCAATGCACTTGCTGCTTTGAAGCTGTTCTTGCAGCACTCCAAGCTCCACAGCAGCAGCCACTGGCCAGGAAGCAGAGGAGTCAAAAGTTAGAGATTTCTGCYGAGATTTACAGTGTAAAAACTTGTAGCATGCTTGGCAAAACAAGAGCTTGAGAGGTTAACTTTAACAGAGAACCTAAGAAAAAAGACTCTATGAGCATAAAGCCTTCTTAGGCAGAAATATCAAAACAAACCAATCAAACCCCATCACCAAAAACAAAACCAAAACAAAGAAACACACAAAAAACCCACACACACTAATGTCCCTCTCCTATCTTTACCATACCAACTTGCTCAGAAAGACACAGTCAAAAAAAAATGCTCAAGATTAAGGATTAATCTAGAGATTAGACACAATGCTCGAGTTCACTGAATGTGTAACACTTGTCATCCTCAGGGCTCATACATAAAAGCCGTATCACTTCCAATTTCTAGAAGGAAATACTGTGAGAACACAAAATTCAAAAGATTCATTTATTCTTTGCACTAAGGGGCAGCAGGTTATCRTTAATTTGCAAATGTGATGAAGAAAAAAAAGGGAAGCAGTTCTTTGAAGAAGGGGATTCTTCAGCAGACAGAACTACCCCTCCACTGGATAACAGCATCCACTCGGATAACTGGATTCCTGGATCTTGATCATGAGTTAGTGTTAGTCAGCTCAAAGAGATCCCTTGCATTCCTTAAATTCCAGCTGTTTGCACTTAGTCCCATTGTTCGCATACCAGACTTTATTAATCCCAGTACACTATCAAGACATTTGTATCATCTTTTTACTATGGTTATGGTGGTATCATCTTTTTACTATGGTTAACACATGCCAGTCATCTAAGCTTACAGAAACATAACAACTGCCTAACTCAAGACTGCCTAACTGTCTAACTCAAGACTAAATTCAAAGTAGCTCTAGTTCACAAATTTTTTGATTGGCCACTGCTGACACTAGCAGAGGGGTAAGAAAGTCCACAGCAAGCAACTATGTAATTAACCAACTCATTACAAGAGTTTTCCTCTAATCCTCTAACAGGCAATTAGTGGTTGGTTTATACTCCACAGCACACAGGCTTCCTTTCCCTTAAAGGCTTTCACTCTTCTAATAGAATCACTTAAAGCTACCAAGTGCAGCTAGCCACAATCCCTGGAGCTACACAGCACACTTACAAGCCAGGGTTTTTTCAATGAACTTGGACAGCTGGARGCAACAGGTCCATGGAAAAGATCAAAAGAGTCCGTATTTCTTTCCCTTATAATCCAGGAAGAATTCAGATAGCTAATTAACTACAAATTTGATACTCAAGTACAAGCTGTCTCTGAAATAAAACCTGGCGTGCTGAAAAGGCTCAACTTACTCCATTTTATAACCAGTTCTGTACTCAGATAGAAGTGGGCCAAGAGATTAACTTTTACAAAAACTAGACACAAGTTATCATTAAAATGGAAATTTGCAACTTGGAAATTTGCAACTTCCCAAAAATGTTGAAGGTAAGAGGCATGTCTGCACAACCTACCTTTCAAGGCAAAGCAAGAAGCAGACCAGTCAGCTGAACCTCCACCAGCATCCGAGCTCTTCTGCTTTCTGACCATTTAGACTGCAGTTTCTTAACTGCAGCAAGAATTAGCAACCTGGAGCATCCTCCTCCTCTCATTTGGGTTGCTCCCTTATCAACTCAAATACATTCTAGTACTGACAAATGATTTAACAGCCTCTTTCATGACATGTTAGTAAATATAAGAATTGGTGAGGATGCAAAAGACCCTTCACTTGTGGCTGGCAGATATGCTGGCCCACAGATATTCTCCAGTAGGTCAGGATGCCAATGTGGCTACATCAAACAGAAAAGARCTTATGGACAATCTGAGAAGTTAACAGCTTAGAAAATAAATCGCACTAGAGTTCCAGAAAAGTGAAGAACAGAACAAAAGCCTCACTCCTGAACAAAAAAGCATTCTTGTCTTATATTATTAAGAGATCCACAAATTTTTGAGGTCAGTAGTACCCGAGACATTTTTGAGAAACCAGAAACAACTGAACAATATAGGGAGAGGGGGGATTAACAAAAACCTTCCACAGACCAGCTACGGTTAGAAGCAGTATATCACTAACCTGTTAGAATAATCTTTCAAAATCCAGTTTATAAGTAATGAAAAGCATCAAGAATTTAAAGCCACAATTAAGATACTATCCTCTAAAAGGAAATCCTGAAGTGGAAAGTGAAAAGTTCCAATACTGCTGAGAACTACAAGAGTATATGATCTAAACTAAAAATAGATGAGCAAGTTTTGTAAAACTGTGTTTGGAAAGAAAATACTAACACAATTATTTCTTTGAAAGTTAGTCATCTATGAACACATTTTTCCATGTATTTCYATGGCCTTAGGGCATGTAAAGCTCACCATATATTTTTCCAAACTGGAACCATAAGTTCAGATCCCACTATGGCCACTGCAACTCTCCAGCACAGCCTTTTCAGAATTCAAAGAATTATTACAGGGACACTGTACATGAAATATAACTTTTCAATCGAGTGTCACATCAATCTAGTGTCTGCTGACAGAATACGACCACAACAAGCCTATGATTTGCTTAAAAATAACTGTTTACTGATCTTTGCTACGCACCTTCTGTGATACATGCTCATTACATAAGCTCTCTCCATTCAGTGTTAGCTTTCTCTAGTCTGTTAAACTCCACCTTCTGTGCTCAAGATCAACTTGCTTTGTCAAGCCCTAGTCACTTATCCAGCCTCTGAATTCAAGCAGTAGTCAAAGTCCTGCAGACAGTCAGCATTCACTAAGTATTTCCTGGAATAGTTATCTTAACAGGATTCCTGAAAACATTTTTAGAAACTCATTTGCAACTGAAATCCACCCTAACACAGAGGCAACCAAACTTTAATAAAGCTATTCCAAAAGCCTAATGCAAGCTGCACGAATAAAGATGGCATTGGGCACATAGGTTACACTGTATTTCTATAAGCATGATGTCAGTCAGGAACCACACCCAGCCAATAAACCTATGTTTTAAACAGAGTCCCTAGTGCAGAAATGGCTTATGTCTTCTTCTGCTAGTGTAACTTACACTAGAGCCCTACAGTTATTAAAATATATCTGAAGAAATACATGTTTGCATATATCTGTAGAACAGCATGTTTGGTACATGCTATAAAAACACGATGGCTTTGGCYGATGTATCAATTACTAAGTAACATCCACCCACCATCCTCCTAATCCACATAAGTTATTTTTACTACATTTAATTGTAAATCAAAACTGTTCTGTCTTTTTCTAAGGTTCTACCCTGGCAGCAAGATAACCAGAATAAGGTTATTCTGAAGTCATATTGTGAGTTGCAACTGCAATGAGTAGAATATGTTGCATGCAGGTGAAGTCACAATTGCAATCCAAGTAAATCCTCCTCTTTTATGTTTTTATTTATTTGAAAGACAGTTTATAACTGGAAAATATTTCTAATAAGTCAGAGATGAATTCTTTCAGAGACTGGGTCAACGAACTTCCCAATACTCACCCAATTCCTCTCCTCCAAGATTTACTACTTAAGGACAGACAAGGGCTGTGCTTTTTTTGTTTTGTGTGTGATTTTTTTTGTTTGTCTTTGGTTTTGTTTTTTAATTTCTCTCTTCTAACTTAGTAAGCTCAAATTACCACTACTAAATGCAGCCAGTGGGATAAACAAGAATAAAACTGTAATGAAACCCCTGGTCTCAGCTGAGGCATTTGTTTCAACTTTGTTGACTTGCTTAGCAGCCAGCATTTAGAATGTCAACATAAGGGCATGGCATAGCAAAAAGCCTTTAAAGCCACTGCTGCTTGCAAAAAGTGCAAATTATCTCTGGCATCTAGTTGACTATACAACAACTGCCATATAATAAGATTTTAATCAGTACACTTAACCCTGGAAGATATTTTGTGTCTTGACAGTTTCACAGAGATTCAACCTTCTCATTTCTACTCCTTTTATTTGGAAAATTAGTTCCTATGAAGGAATGAATTGTAAAATGTATTCACTGCTGCAATTAATACTTTCACCACGGCTCCCCTTTTAAGATGAGCAATTTGCAGCTCTGCAGATTACCATACAGTTTAAAACAAAATGTGAAGTTTTATAAAACAATTCACTGTTAAGTCTGCAGACTCTCCCAGAGCCAACCAGTATTTGCTCAAGAAATATTAACAAATAGTTTTCTTTTACTGGTCTTTCTATTATTACTTGCACGTGTGGTATGGAAAGATGCTATGCCACCTGCTGGCTTGGGAGTTTCATGTTTTTCTGGTTGACCTCTTCAGTGAAACCAGCTATTGAAATATAATACTAGTACCACTCTGCATACTGTATTCTTCTAATACAGAAGAGTATTACAATAGAAATGTCTTTTTTAAAGCTTATCAGGTAAGTGTTATAGACTATTATGGATGTGTATATCAATTAAAACATGAGGTGTGAAATTCAAGTTATAGGAGAGTCAAAACGAGCAATTCAAATACTYAACATAGAGAAATTACCTATGAAATGAAAGCCACTTGACTCCTTCACACAGTACAACTCCGGATGTCATAAGCAGTTCTGCAAAGTACTGTGTCTCAATTCCTTCTTCCTCATGCTTTTTAAACTGGATGCCAGATGTCGTGAGTAATTCAATTGAGTCCTGGGCATACATATCTTCTCTGAAAGAGAGAAAATTAAAATTTATAGACCTTAGTGATTACAAACCTGGCAAGACTTTTTTTTTTTCTTTTCCTACTCACTCCACAGGCTTTATTACAATAGAGAAACAACAGCTTGACTGCATCCCTTGTTTATTACAAAAAGAATCACTTTTCAGACTACCTGTTAACCTTCATTAGCTTCTGATCGTTCCCTGTATCTCCATTCCTACTCCCTGCTCCCCATTTTATGCCCTTGTGGGGCTCCCTTCTGTGAAATCAACAGAGGAAATTAAACGTACAAACACAAACATTTAACCAAAACAGATCTATTACTTACACTGCAACAAAGTATATACTACATTTGAGAGGCATTTAGGAAATCCGCTACAGTCTAGAATCAAGAATAGCCCACTAGGTCCCAGGACTGTAGACAGTATTTTCTGCCCATTTTCTGTCTTTCTATAATTTGCCTCACAGAAACATTTACACACACAGACACATACATACCACTAATCAAAATTTACATCTCATTAGGATGGGAAATTGAGTATTTGTCCCATCTAGTTGATTCTTAATATTCAGCTAACTCCAAAACTTCTATCTAAACCATCAACTTAAAGGAGAAATTCAACTTCTAGATTATGGACCTACAGCTTAATAGGTTCCTCTATGCATTGTTTGATCCCTCATATCCCTATAGTTATTAGTTTCATGACTAGTATTTTTGTGGATTCTTAGAAGTGTTGTGACTAAATAGATAGGGTTTTTTTTTCCAATCATAAAACTTAATTTGTATTGTCATGATAAACAATGATAGAATGATTAACCAAAAAGTAAATGCACCTGTGGATTTATTTAGAAGACAATAATCATACTGGTGACCACAACATACTGGTCTACAAACGCTCTTCATTGTGAAGATTTTGATTTTAGTAAAGGAATACCCCACCCCTCAAATTAAAATAGACAAGACAGTCCCAATATATCAAACTTGAAAATTACATTCAGTGGCAACTTATATTCCCTACACTTAATAACAAGTCATCATTCATCACGACATGTAGATACATTCTCAAGATGTGTTACATCTTTTTTTCCTCCCTCCCACACAGCTGCTCATTAGGTCTCCAGCTTTAAGGCTTCCCAACACCTGTCCATTTCCATAACACATTAAAGAACGCAGCCAAAACAAACATGCCTATTTCTCTTACACACACACACACACACAAACCTAGTTTGTTGCTCCATAATCAGGTGGGTATTTAGTTCAGAGCAATATTTGTGCTCTTTAAAATACATTGTGACAAGACCTGGCCAGAACAGCACACTCACATAAAAAGCACCCTCTAAGGAGAGTCAGCAGCTGTTTTGTTTCAGGAGAGCATTTGGCACTGAGCCATTTCCCAACAGGAAATTTAGAAACAGATGAAAACTTTTTTTTTTTTTTTTTTTTTTTTTTTTTTTTTTCTCTCTCTCTCTCCCCCCCCAATAGTTACTTCCCTATTCTTGTTAAAGATATTAACCTCCTATTAATACCCTTCTGTAAACAGCATTCATCTAGCTTAGACTTAGAATAAAATCTCTACCAACAACYGAGCAACAGGTTAGCTCAGCAAATAGCTAGTTCCTACCTTACTCAACTTCCCTAGGTATGTAAGCACCTGACACAAATAGGTGGAAAACTACTTTTGTTTTCAGTTACTTAACAGTAGATAGATCTTTGAAGCTCAGAAAATGAATAAAACATAACCCAGGCTCTTCTTCACAGCTCACAGCTTGGAAACTATCCATTCCTCCTCCTCCTCTTTCTCCCATGCTTAGCAGGATTAGTCTATTCATTTATTAAAGAAATAGATAATTTCTAGCTACCATTTGAAAAAAAAAAAAAAAGTAGGGTCAAGGATACCAAAAGAAGCAACCCCCACTCTTTTTTTTCCTGATCTTTCAAATAAAAAGAACATGCCACTCTTCAGGCCAAGCTGATYTGTGACAAGTCACAGCACTGCATGTGTAGAAGAACTGAAAAAGTACGAGATAGGGACCTTTTTTTTTCCCCCCCCTCATTGTAACAGTCCTGTTGATTTCGAAAAGATGTGCTTTTATCTGCAGGAGAAAAAAAAAAAAAAGGGCTCATTCTCTAAGGTTCCTTTATAGGAAGATACACACATAATTTATGCCTATCAATTTTTCCAGTGTTCAGCTCATTAAAAAAGACACATAATTAAGAAMTGTTTGCACTGATACTCAGACTGAGCCATATAAGAACCTGTCAGACTGATTATGTCWACTCTGGAGGAGGAAAATAAATAAGTAAATAAATAGGAGAAAGATATTGCCTTAGCAACCTTATCAGCTATATAGTTGTTAAAGACAACTATAACACCACTCAAGTGCCTATGCGCACTGGGAAAGTTACATTCCTGCTTAAAGATTTATCACCGATAAAGCTGTGTTCTAAAGGTCATCATACTATTCTGCCAAACAATTAAAAAGTTTGCTYTTTTTGTTTTAGATGCATTGACTATAAAAGTACTACACACAAAAAAAAGTTACCCAAAACRGCTGTAGGAAAAAAAAATTTAAAAAATCAGCCTATAATAGTTACACTGTAGAATACAGCAAGTACCTTTTAGCCTATTAGAAAAAAAATAAATAAATACAGGAAGTAGAACAGTCTCCTTTGAAAACAGATTAAAAAAAGCTACCATATTAAAAAGTTGACAGCATTTTACCTACATTATTAGGCTCTTCTTGTGTGCCTTTCATGAAGAATAACATTAAAGAAGATGCTTTAGACTTGTTGATTATTGTAGCACTTTAACTTTTAGAGAGATAACTGCGTTATAATTTTATCCAAATATCTGTGCTACCCTTTTAAGACACACGAGAAATAACATACMACTCTTTAACAACCAATTTAAGCTAAGTTTATGTGCTTTATAGTTTAAACTCCATACTTCAAAATACGTATATGCAGAGCCAACTCTTGCATTGCTTTAAAAATGTTGTTGTAATTGTTTGCACTTCTGAACTACAAACTAAAGAGCTCACACAAAAATGAAAGAAAACATGAATTTCCCCAATCAACCTTTTTTTTTTTCTCATATAAAGCATTCCTAACAGTGCATAACCACAACATAAACTTTTATAACATTTTTGTATAAATAAACCAGAAACATGCATCCAACTRTGAGAGAATTTGATACTTACGTTAAATTAAATTTAAAATTGAATTGCCAAGTTGAAGTTCCTGGAGGGTATTCTCCTTGCTCGTTCATAAACGTCAGTCCTAGCTGAATTATTTTTAGCAGGTCTACATTGCAGCGTAACAATTGGTACTGATAGTCGGCATTGCTCCTGAATTCTCCAATGGGCCTTGCAACTACACCTGGAAATTCTGTGTCCTGTAAGAGCGGAGTGAGAACTTCAACAAAAGCCCTTCAAAAAAAGTGATTTTGATGTTAAATTTTATTTCAAGCGTGGAGTGACTTTATAACTAAGGAATAGAGTGTAATTAAAATAATAAAAATAGCAAATAAGGATTTTAATGTTTATTATAAAGCTTTACTATTACAGTAAGTCAGATTTTAATGTTTATTATAAAGTTTTACTAGTACAGTAAGTCAATATTAAGATATCATTGCTCTTTCAAGAAAAAGAGTTTGAGTTTCTCTCAAGTTAAAACTTGAGAGAAAATTCACTGAAAAGTGAATTCACTTTTCAATAAAACTTGAGAGAAAATTCACTGAAGAGTGCACAAGTTTGGTGCACTTTGGGGGTAAGAGGCCAGGCAAAGCTGAGCCGCTGCTTACCATAGCCACATAGTTATACTTGCGTATAACCTGGCGGATTTTCTTCATCTCCTCGTCCAAGTTGCAAGCCCAGACCTCGCAGATTCTTTGGCTGTGGTCGACGGTGGCCGCGGGCATAGTGGGGCGCGTCACGGGCCGGGCATCCACAGCGACACTGCCCCGGCGGCCACCTGCATGGAGAGCGGCCTCGAGCTGCCCTCACCTGCGCGGCACGGAGAGCAAAACCGTCACTTCCCGCCCCTTCATCGAGGCGCGGAAAAACCCTTAAGCCCCTAAAGGGGCGAAGGCCACGCGCGCGGCCGTTACGACCGTTACGGGTCGCGGCGAAGGCGGGAACCGCGGGAGCTTCTCCCGCCCCTCTCCCCCCCCCCCCCCCCGCGCGGCGGCGGCGCCTGCGCCAGCCGCGCTGCCCCGGGGCCCGGGGCCCGCGGCCCCGCCCGCCCGCCGCGCCGCGCCGCTCGCACTCACGGTGCCGGGCGGGCCGGGCCGCGTTGCGGAGGCCCCGCGGCGGCGGCGGCCCCACGTCGCCACCGCGAGCGGGCGCGCGAGACGCTGCGGCTGCCGCCCCCACCGCACAAAGCCATTACGTCATCAGCGCGCGCCGCGGCCCCCTCACCTCTGACCGCGCCGCCCGCCAATGGCGGCCCGCGACGCGCCGCCCCACCCGCCTTCACGGCGCGGCGCCCCGCCCCCCCGCGCGCGGCGCCCCTCATAGGCGGCGCGTCACGCGCTGCGCGTGACGTCAGAGCGTGGTGGCGTAGCGCGGCGGCGCGGCCCGGCGCGCAGCGCAGAGGGGGCTGCGCGGACCGGACCGGAGCGGACCGGCCGGGACCGGTCAGGAGCGGTCAGGATGAACTGGCTGTTCCCGCTGTCCAAGGGCAGCGGCTCCGCGGCGGCGGGCGCGCCRCTGCCCCCGCTCACGAGCCTGCAGCAGCAGAAGCAGCGGCAGATCGAGTCG